TTCTTGTACATGGAGCGGTATCTGGGCCTGGACAAGTTTTGAGGGCGTCCACACGCTTTCCAAATGTAAACACAGGTCACATATGTGATGTAAAGAACATATTCTGTCACAGGGAGTGATGTTTGGAAACCTAAGACCTGGTTATTGACGTCCACATGCAGACGCATAAATGGAGGATTCGCAGATCTTCACTTTGGTCTGAGGTTTTTAAAAGAATCGTTTTTAATGCCGTAAATCTGCGTTTTCATGTGGATGACAGATCATATCGTAGAAAAATATCTTCGTTTTGTGAGACACCCTGTTACGTGTGGACAAGGCCTCAGTTCCACCAGTTTTGTCAGGATGAATGGGGGAAAATTCCAGTAAACTACTGTGAGAAGCTCGTTGAAGGAAACCCCAAATGTTTGATCCAAATCATGCAGTTTAAAGGCAACGCTACCAAATACTAAGGAAATGTAAACTTTTGGCTTTGAAGAAAGTAATAAAAAATTATTTCTCTCATTATTCTGACATTTAGCAATTAGAAATAATTTTGGCAAACCCAGCTGACCTAAAACAGGATAAGTTTAGTCTGATTTAATGTCAGATAGTGAGAAAAAAAAAGGTTGTGCATCTTTTTATGTCGTGTATGTTCTGGTTTTAACTGTATCACACGACCTTTCAGTGGAATATGCTCGGCCTCACTTCAGTTGAAGTCTCAAGTGTTGAAACACTTAATGAACCCCAACCCAAACCAGAAGTTTCACCATAAACCTGGCAAAAAAATAATAAATAAATCTTACAAACCCTTTAAACTGTGAAAAAATACCAAGTGTGAAGTTTGCACTGAGGATCAAAGAACATCTTCTTTGCATCAGCAATCAGCACCCCTTCATATGATTAAAGCATGTAGTGTAATAATAAATACTACTCAAAAATGTTGCACACATCGTTTAGTTTAGCTAGAAAATCATGACGGGGTCCTCGGGGCATCTTCTTTCAAACTAAACCTTTACAAGCAACGAGGAGCAGCAACACAAACACTCTCCCTTTAGATGTTTCTCTTCATCTTTTTTGCTTTGTTGGGACATTTTGTCTTCGTAGAAATGCAAGCTTACAACATCGAATTCATTCTTCTTTGTGTGTTTATTCAGCAAGCTGAGCAGGCTGACAGGAAGCCGAACAAGCAGAACACCGCCAAAAGCTCGAGAGAAAGGAGAAAAGCCGGAGTGATGGATAGCTAGACAGAGGAGAGGAAGGGAGGCCTGTGAAAGTAGGGTAAAGATCAGGCGGCAACCACCGAGGCTGAAAAATGAAGCCAAAGTCCAAGTGCCACAAACTGTTCCTACAATAGCCACTTGATGCCGGTTTCAAAAGTGGAGAAGGATGAATTTTTATGTAAGTCTAAATCTG